CAATGTTTTTTCTTCATACGCTACCACACTAGTTCAGGAGCTCTTTTACTAATAATAAAGTATACATGAAGGAGTGAGGTGATAATCAATGGCTGAGATTCAGATTTCAAGTTAAAAAGAAAGGATAATGAGTATAAATTTAAAAGGTGGTGCAGAAAAAACAAACAGAAACTTGCACAGCTGACAATGATTCCAAAAACGTAAACTGCTTGTCTGTTAATGGTTTTCAGCATACAAAGTAGGAAGGCTACAATATAATTTCTAACAGCAATAAGTAGACAGTAATATTGTTTACAGACAAAAATACTGGTTTAAGTAATTCTTCTAAAGCTTACACACAGTGACCTGATACAAATGCTCTATCTGATCTGTGAAATTGATAAGTTCTGTACTAAAGTGTTCTCCAGGACAAAATAACAAAGATGTTTTCAAGTATTTTCTTGGAAGGTTATGGGTTCATTTCACAGCTGAGTCATTTTTAACGGAGATCCCTGTGATCATAGTTGGGGTTACAGAATTTATGCTTTGTGTGATGTTCTTGGAGGGCAGCTAGTTATTCTACAAACAAATACAATGGTGCCAACCCTGTGCAATGAGGTGAATACTATCAAACTTGACCTTTCGACCTTTAACCTTGATTTTTTGTATAAACTCATTTAGTTTGCATGACAGTGTATAAACTACTTTCTCTGCACTGTTTGCACGTACAGACATGCAACATGTTCACTGATAGTGTTTGAGTTTCTCTAGAACATGATGCGCAGTAATAGAGCAAATTCTTGCACTGACAATACAAAAACTCTTTGACACTAACCCCTAATCTGCACATGTTGCTAGTTCCCAGAAAAATTCTTTGTTGACCCACATTTAGTTTATGCTGAATGAATTCCATCTTATGTTTCTCAAAACACAACTAGAAAAAAGCTGTGAATTTAAATTTGTGTCATTGGAGCGAGTTTGTACTAACCAACTGTGCTGGCGAAACCCCCCCCCCCCCCCCCCAAAAAAAAAATACAGAAGCCATCAACAATAAAAGACTTTATAATATGAATATTTTGTAAGTGGAAAAACAAAAACCATTCAATTATTTCGTTACACATGTTTATACAAAATTGCAAAGCTAAATATAGGTTAGAGTTACATGTTAAAAGAAGATCAATTCCAGTATTTCGATTGAATAACCCAATTTGTATGGCAGTGATGGAGATAAGACTAAGCAGGTATTAGGCATAATTCAGAAACCACTGATGTATACTGTTTTGCTGAACAAAATAATATAAAATTAAATAATTTTTTGTTTGTAAGAAATGCATAACATACTATGCAAATTACACGAAAATAATGTAATTATTCCTTTATTCTGCAACTCAGCTAAAATAGAAATAATAAGTTATTAATTCAGACGTTCAGTAAATTAACTTCTCATAATAGGGTTAGGAAGATCTACATTATAAAGATGATGCTATGATCTACAAGAACATGTAACAAAAAACTTTATATAAACATAAATGTTTCGATAATTCTGACTGAAGACTAAATTTGTAGTGTATGACTGAAGAGGTAATTTTGTAATATATGATTATAACAATCCTATTCTGCAACACATTACTACGTTAAAGTTTTGTAAGATATGACCAAAGATCTTAGTCAGCTAACATATGGTTAAAAATTTGATTTTGTAATATATGTATAAAGATTTTATTCTGTCAGATTTGTCAAGAGATTCTATTCTGCAATACATGTTTGAAGAATTTGCTAGTTAATATGTAGCCAAACATTTTATTACTTATCTGATAGCTGAAACACGGACCTGAGAACCATGTAATATTGCCCCTGGAATACCCCAGGATTCTGCAGTTTTACTGGTGCTCTTTAATGTGTATGCAAGCAAGATTGCAGAATTTGAAGCACTGGGTGTTGGAAGGTTATTGACATTTTCTGATGATGTTCTTGCATATAGGCAAGGGAGTGATAGACAACAGATAGCCCAAGAGCTGCAGGCAACTGTAGACAAAGTAACTGACTGGTGTGCAGAAATAGGTGCTGTCATCAACTCAGAAAAGGGCACTGTTTTGTGGTGCTCTCTGGACAATAGAATTGTCTACCTTGTCTAACATCAGTTTACTACTAAGTGGTGCATAACCAGCCAGTCTGCCTGCTGGCTCATTTCCCAACACACCAGAATGACCTGGAAAAAATAATCCAAAAGATGCAACTACCCAAGACCTCAGAAGTGATGTTTGCCACTCTGCAAAAGCATGCATGTCTCCACCTTTCTTAACATGCTCACCCTCCACTGTTCCTGTTGTCAGCAACTCTCCTCAGACTAGCAAAAGTCACAACCTCAGAGCTGTATTTTTTGGGGTCAATGTCCTGTTTTCCTCTTGCCTTCCAGGATTTAAAAACAAATCTAAAGCATTTAGTAGCAGACTATTATTCTCAAATGACAATAACGTACAGAATCTAGATGATACACTAAGAGGTTGTGTTCAAAATTGTTTTGTGCTAAATTGGAGCCAAGGATAATTTATCCCTGCTAAGGCTAAATTGTTTTCATGTTATCCACATTTTTATCTGAAGCCAGTTTGTGTAAATAATATTTTACTGTAAATTTTCAGCATTCCATTTAAGGCCTCGCCTACTTTATATAATTCTGCAGTTTATTATTATTTTATTTCATTTATTTATCTAAGATTTGAATACTGTGGTGTAACAATTTCTGAGTCAGTTCATTTTTGTGTGTTGAGTTTTGTTTCTCGTAGTCATTTTGTCAATGAAGGCTTAACGCTTCAATGTTCTTTGTTTGTCTGTTGTAATTGGTTCTGTAAGCTGACATATACATGTATTAGTTTTTCAAACCTTTTTTATCTCAAATTATTACCACGACAACCTTGTTTGCATGTGTTCAACAGTTTTCTATTTGTCCAATGCCTTTTGAATCTCACATCATTTTGCCAGATTACATCTCAAGACATGAAATTTCTACTTTTTACTGTACTAACTTTTATTTAGTTCATGGTTTCATAACTTGCATGTAACATACAAATTTGTATTTTCAGCTTTTCTGGTAAAAAGATTTTATTCTTATTCTGAGTGATATTGACTTCATGTATTTTGACAGCTTCCTGTATTGTTTATTGCCTTTCATTTTCAATAGAGATGTTTATTTAGGATCAGATGTCGAAGCATCCACTCCAAAGTGTTCTTGTCTTCTCTCTTTTCTCTCAAACTTTTATGTAATGATGATGTATATAATGTTTCTCTCTATAGTGTGAATTATCACTTTTATTCATCAGTTTCTGTCAAAAGTCTTTTCATACACTTTCTAAATTTCTATTTACAGTGTTTCAAGTATTTGTTTGTAGAACACATTTGCATGTTTGATGTAATTTCGAACCGACTGACCATAATTTACCTCAATTTGCCAGGAGTGGCTCTAAATAAGTCTAAGAAAAACACCAAAAAATATCTTTTTCAAAATCTAGAAATTTTTTTATGTATTACATTAAATTAAAGGTATTCTAGCTGTACTGCCATTCATTTTTCCTAGCACATTTATCTTACTAATACAAAATAAGGCTATTCTTCGAACTTCGGGCACTAAAGATGGCGGCCGCAAAAATTCCTTCGAGCCACAGTCACGTGTCGATTGTGCACTTCCAGCGACTTAATTTGCGATTCTCCAGCGGTTTTCGGGTGACTACAGCCACCGCCACGAGTCCCCCACGCCGCTCATGTGGCGTGGATTGGGGCTAAACTAGATGGCTAGGACTCACGAGCAAAGCTTCAGGAGATGCAGAAGCTGCTCCTGGCGGTGGCGGTAGTCGCCATAAAACCGCAATAGAACCGCAAATTAAGTCGCCGGAAGTGCGCAATTGACAGCGACTGTGGCTTGAAAGGATATTTTGCGGCCGCCATCTTTAGTGCCCGAAGTTCGGAGGACAGCCCAAAATAACTGTGAGTGATACTTCCATTACTAGAATCAACAAAAATATTTTTACTTTGTTGAATATACATTTGCTCAAATCTGTAAAATCTCACTGTCCAATGTACCCTCTTACCCATGTAATCAAGTAGTTTTTCAAGATCAATGTTTCCCCCAGCTATTGGAACATTTTAGTGTGGGAATATCAAATTTACAACCCAGAAAGGTCAAGCAAGTATATTACTTGTTTACTTAATCATAAATTAGGATATGTTTATATTAACGGATTGTTTCAACAACAACATTTAAGTAGTTGCACATGACACAAACTTATCTGTGTTTGTTTTCAGTAAGTTAGTTAGTCGTTCCTTGTGGGATGCAATTGTTAGTTATTTGAAGCCCCACCTTTGCTTAGTGGACCCTGAACAGCTGGGCCACAAATATGGCCTAACGGCTGAAAGGAATTTCTGGGACCTCTCCATGGATGATCCTCATCCGCATGGTGGCACTTTTTGTCATTGGGTGTCTATCGCTTCTGTGATTTTCTAGTCGGGTCAAACTTACATACATACACACATATTTCTAGTTCTTCAACTGCTTACAGAAAAATTCTTCTTGGCGTCTTTGTTTTGTCCAATGTTTACTCACTGCTACTGCAAGGACCTACTAAATATATTTAAAAGATATCTATTATTTTAACAACACTAATCTAATTAATAAGATTGTTTAACACAGTTAGGTGTTGATCACTAAAAAGAAAAGTACTAAAATTGGCCAGTGTGAATATTTTCAGCATATAACATTTCTACACATTTTAACAACAAGAAAGCAAAACTTTGAAATCCAGCTAACTAATGCCCTCTAAAAATGTATGAATTTAGTAAGAAACAATTGCATCATATGTTTTGCTTCATGCTCTATGAGCAATTTCTATAAAACACATCTTTTGCATATTTATTGTTCTGTTAAATTATCTACATCATTTTCACAAACCCATTTGTTGTTAGACACTGATGTCTGTGCACATTAGTATCACATATAAAACAGCGAAAGAGTTTTTCAGATCGTCATAACGTCAACTAGTATTGCTTTTAGTTTTCCCATAGGCTTGAACAATGGGGTCTGTGAAAAAGACAACTTTGGGTGTCTGATCCTTGGGTTTGTCTCGGGATTTCTCATCAGTGTGTTCACCCTTGTGAGATATTTCAATCTTAACCTTTGAACCTGGAGATGCATGTGTGCTGCCTACTTCTGAACATTCAATTTCAGAAATTTCTGTGGGTGCATCTGAACTAGCCACACTGGATGATTTTAAGGAAGATTTTAAGGACTTGAGACCACCAAACGGTTTACTTTCACTGGATGAAATATTTCTTTTCACAGGGCTTCTTTCATCTGACTGTGTCTTTAGTGGGTCAAAGTCTTTTGTTATTTCACTCACAGAATTCTTTGAATCCTTCGGTTCACAAGGAGTGATCAGTCGGGCACTCTCTTCTGATGTTGGAGCAGCACTCATACATTCTGTATAATCATCGGAAATCGATTTTGTCATATCTCCTGATAATGCAGACTGTGATTTTTTGTCATCTTTGTGGTGTTTAGGCTTGTTTAGGTCTTTCATCTCAAATGCTTTAAGAATGCGCCCACCAAGGAAGCTTCCTCTGCGTTTAGTGTCTGGGACATGGCCTTCCTCTTCATCAGCCTCATCAAGACTCTGAGTCAGTCGGGTACTTGCCAAACCAAATGCATCACCGACACTGCCAGATCGCTTCCTCTCTGGAAGAGTTGGAACTTTCAGACCAAACAAGTTTGAGCCTGAATGTACTTTTGGTAATTTCGTCCATGAATGGCCATGATGTTTGCTGTCACCAAAGTCTCTGTCTTTGCTGTGATCTTTTGTTTTATGTTTTCTCTCCTCTGAAATTTTATGCAGTTTAGTTGAGAAATCAAACTTGAAAGAACTCTTCTTCTTGTGCTTGCTTCCATCTGAGCTATCATCTGAGTCTCGATCTTCATCTTCACTGGCGCTTGTGGGGATTGGCGTGGACTCCATGACTATCTCATTCACTAGCTTCTGGTCTTCTTCCAGATCAGCTCTGCTACTTACAATGCTGGGATTCTTGCCAATTTTTGTTAAACGTTCAGCAGCTACACTTTCCATGGTACGCCTCATTACTGGATATCTGTCCAAGACACTGTTGAAATGTTCCACTGCCAAGGAATACAAGCATGCATAGGTCTCCGCACGGACACTGGCAACACGGCGAGCATTTGTCAGAAGGCAAATTTCTGAAATACACAATAAAATTTATAAATGGATAGTGTTGTATAAAATTATGACTTGCTAACAAAACTAGACTAAATCTCATCATTGAATTATCCAATTGATTACTATATTTTCTTTTTCACAATTCACTTCTGTAAATCAGGATAGGTTGTATATAGCTTTTGAGAACTCTCTTTCTCAACTCAATTGACAAAGAAAGATTGCTGTAGCATTATATATTTTATAGTAAATATATTTAGAGAACCATTTCAATGCAGTCTGATAAAAGAACAGTCTCAGTACTGGTTAATTTGAGATTCAAACCATTTAATTTAAGAACGTGAGTACATTAATTACTAGACAGGTGGCATATTGCTGTGATAATCATTTTAGAATACTAGCTAACAAGATTTTTCTGAATTTCAGTACTATTTATGTGGGCACACTCTTAAAATTTTATGTCTCCGCATTTACTGTTAAACAAATTAATGACTAAGTTATCACCTTAGTTCTTAGCAGACACACATTTGAAGATCTACCATGGATTATCTTCATAATTATCTTTAAAAATTGCCTGACTTCTTCAGAAATTATTTAAATCTTTTTGCTTATTAACTTGTAATAGGATAACATATTACTTACCACCAAAATAAGATCCGTCAGAAAGACTTGTGGCCACTTCCCCATCTGATGTAATAATGTCCACTATACCTTCTTGGATGAAATACATTTTTGTTCCCATTGTGCCTTCTCTTATTATGTAATCTCCTGGCTGGTAAACCTGGATTGCAATTAAGCATACATTTAATTGTTTCAGTATCAAACAGGCATTTCATTAACTCATTCTATCTTAATTAGTTATAACTATAGTAAATGTTGGGTCTGGTGGAGTTACCAATTGTGGTAGAGTAGGTTCACATAGCAACTGGCTGGAGGACAAGGAGTGATGAAAAGTATATTATGTGGTTAGAAACTGATAAATGCATGGTGAGTTCATTGATACTGAATGACTTAAACATAGTGATACTATTTGGAGTTTCTGGGATGAATGTTGCATATCTAAAAGACAGCTAAGGCAACCAGCAACAGTTGCTTAGAAAACGCTAATAAGGCTAGGAAGTTTATGCAATCACAAGAAAGAAATTAGGTTTTGTTTTTTAGGCTACTTATTGAGAGGTAGGGAATTCAAGAACATCATAACTATGGGTAAGATCAATCAGTCATGCAATAGAAAAAAGCATGCTAGATCAATGGTAGAAGAGACAGAGGAAGGCTGACAGAAATATGACTTAATGTTCTAAATTTTTTAAAATCTTTTTTTTTTCTAAAAGCAACCCCTCTTCTGCTGCAGGCACAAAGAAGTAGCTGACTGGGCATCATTCTCACAAGTTGTTTACAATACAACTATGAACACAGTGTTCTATGATCACAAAATGTACATTAACATCTGATTGCTACAGTCGATTTCACTGAATTAGAGGCAAGATGAAGTCCGTACATTTATGTGAAAGAAAAATATGTTAGTTTGAAGAAGCATAACATAAAATTAAAGAGCACAATGATCACATGAGGCAGGTCCTTTGCAGAACGTCGCTCTCATCACAGTCTGCCTTAGAGAAACTTGGTCTTTCGCCAGTTCTCCCGCCTCATGTATTTTCATACTCAAGGAGTCACTTATATCCTGTGCTTATCTTTGTGTTGGTCGGCCCCTGCCCCTCCTTCCTGGTACCATGCCTTCTGCTATAATCTTTTCCAATCCGTCGTGGCGCTTGATATGACCAACATATTTCAGCTTCTGAGACAGGATGTTGTTTATTAGCCAAACTTCCTTGATGTTAAGATCTTTTAAGATGTCAGTATTTCTCCTCTTCTTTGTCCAAGATATTCTGAGAATCTTTCTTTAGCATTTCAGCTCAAAAACCCCTGTTCTCTTTCTTAAAGACTGAGAGATAGTCCACGACTCACATCCGTATGTAGCCACAGGGAAGATGCATGCTCTCAAAATTCTAATTGTTATCTCCTCGCTGGTGCTTTACCATTTACTTTTAAGGCTGTTCAATATTTGCATTGCTATGGCCATCCTCCTTTTAATTTCTGTCAAACAGTCTCCATTTCTGTTTATTAAAGAACCTAGATATTCAAAGTTTGTGAAATTTTCAATTTCTTCATCATTTATTGTTATTTTTGGGTGACAGCCAGTTTTATCTGTGGACATTATTTTTGTTTTCTTTAAATTCAAGAACAAATTTTGATCTTCACTGTGTTTTTGGTCAGACAATATTATATTTTTATTCTCTTTATGCTGTTCGAAAGGAGGACTGGAATGAATGCCGAAGGGTTGCGATATCCATAGTACCGAGCCAAAGGGTTTACAACTCATGGTTTCTGGATACGTTAAAAAAAAAAAAAAGTGTCATCTGCATATGCGTAGTTCCGGAATAGGGTTGCCACAAATTTTGAGCGGATCATAACTGTTACAAGTCTGGTCATTTTTGACATTTCTCATTAAATTTTCTGTGTATATATTGAATCAGTATGGTGAGAAAATGCACCCTTGCCTCACCCCCTTTTGCATCTCGAACCAATTAGATGTTTCACCAGCTGCTCTGATGGCTGCTTGTTGTTCATAATAAAGATTCTCAATTAAACGCACTAAATGTGCTGGAAACCCCATACTTCTCATAATAGTCCACAGTTTGTGGTGTTGGACACAATCAAATGCCTTGCTATAATCAATAAAACAAGAATGAATAATTTTCAAAAATTATTCTCATATTAAAGATGTGATCCCTAGTTCCTCTACCCTGTCTGAAACCAGCTTGTGCTTCACCTAGCTCATATTGTAATTTCTTTTCAACCCTCTTCATGATAATTTGTAAGAGGATTTTGCTAGCATGACTTCTTAATGAGATGGTACGGTAGTTGGAGCATAGTTTCAGAATTCCTTTCTCTGGGAGAGGGATAAAGATTGTTCTTTTCCACACTTTACGCCAAATGCCACTGTTCCAGATCTTCGAGCACAGTGCATGGTAGATTCGGACGCTGGCCTCTCCTCCTGCTTTAATTAGTTCTGCTGGTATTTCGTCACAACCTGGTGACTTTCCTTTCTTCAGGCTGTGTATTGCTGATATCACCTCATCCAGTAAAGGCTCTGGTTTCTTTTCATAACTGTCACAAGTTGTTTTTTGAATTACTTGTCACATCCTCATACATTTCTCTACAGTATTCTTTCCATCTTTCTAATATGTCTTTGGTTTCCATTAACGTGCTACCGTTTTTATCACTTATTACATGAAAAAGAGCACATTGGTTAGGTAATAAGCTATATTTTGTAAAAAAAAAGAACATTATAAGCAATACGTACTTTGTTATTTAAGTGAAAAATTTATTCTTGTATGTTCTGTTAAAATCAAATTATGTACCTGTTTTTGAGACATTAATATACAATTTAAAAAATCAGCAAATGTGGTTTTATAGCAATCTTTGAGAAATAAACCAGTTAAATTGACCAATCGAAATATTGTGAAAACTCCTGACAGAATCTATCACAAACACCAAAAATAGACAGTTGACATACTTTAGCCACATTCTGGGAAGAGATCACAAGAAACGTATTGTACTGAGAGGGGGAGTTTGCCTGTTAGGAAGATAACGAGGAGCAATTTGTCACGCCATCACAAGCATCATCACAAAAATTGATACATTATGTTGGAGATCGCCAGATGTAGAACATCATGATCGCTCACGCCAGCTAATAAAGTACTTGATGAGGTTATGCATTTTCTGTAATTTGTAGGGTTTAGTAGATAGAGCTGAATCGTCTTTCTCAGCAAGAGAGTAACCTACATGTTCATTATATTTGATATTACAGTATCCCCATGAGACTACCAAATCATCTGTTTATGACCGCTTTGGAATTTTGTGTTGTTGTAAACTGTGAACTGCTGCTTTACAATAGTGCCGTGTAGCTAAACATAATTACCTCAAATCTGAGTTTACTGACAACTTCGGACACAAAGGAAGGGTCAGCGTTAGTGAAGAATGGAACTGAGGCCACTAAAGATCTGCAGTTGTGATTTACAACTTCCTGAAACAGATAATATGGCAAGGTTGTTACAAACCATGTTAAAATAAAATAAATATCTTTTATGTTAGTGTCAAAAAGAAGCAAACAGTTCACATTTTTATTTGACCACATGCATTCGAGCACATAATGAGAAAAGAAAAGTAAGATTAAATCATGTGCAATGTTAAAATTTTTACTATCAATGATGCCAGACATGGACAGTGCTAGAAGCATAAACGTAAAATTACAACATATGTGGTTAGGTTAGTTGCGTATCCTTTACAGGACATTGCAGAACCAACCCCAACAGCCCCTGGCCGTTGTGTGAGTTTTCTAGGCAAATTTACATCCAGTAGTTTGCCATTGCTTTATGGACGGTCGGCTTTCTTGATACCACTGTCAAAACCAACGCAAGGCGCATGACCCACAGCTAGGATCGAACCCGGCATCCCGGCATTACAAAGCGTTCGCATCGACTTAGCCACAGAGTTGACTACATATAAGATGAGATGTATAAGAAATGCGGTGGGAAACACAAGATGATACAGAATCACTAACCAAGGACTAAAAACAATGGTAGGCATAGTACATGTAATTTCATAGAGCATCAAAGAATCAAAGTATTTGGTCATCTGTCAGAATGGATCAAAGTCATCCAGCAGCTAGCAGCTACAGCGTACTACACGAGAACAGCAGGTTACAAGACAAGAGGCTGACCAAGAAATAGATGTGTGGATAGCGTAAATAAGACACTATAAATATATGAAAAAAATATATGACAATAACACAAGCTACACATCAGAGGACAGGAAACACACCCCATGAGCATCTTCAACACACATAATTTCAACTCTAATAGTGAAAATCCTGGTTGAGTTTGATTATACATTAGTCATGCTGTTTCACTGAGAATTTAGTACCTTCCAGATCCTCCGTTCACTCACTCCTATTGGTATCTTTATTTCAAGATCATGATGACCAAAATGACTATTACCACATTTACCTAGTCCTATCCCAGTTCACCATCCAGTGTTGCAGAATTGGCCAGTCTGTGTGCTTGTTCATTTTTCAGTATATATCGACACATCTTGGAGAAAAGATCCAATTATTACTCACTTCATTGGCATATCTTGGAGAAAAGATTCATTCATTTCTCACTAGATCGACATATCTTGGAGAAAAGATCCATTCATTTCTCACTACATTGACATATCTTGGAGAAAAGATCCATTCATTTCTCACTACATTGACATATCTTGGAGAAAAGATCCCTTCATTTCTCACTACACTGACATATCTTGGAGAAAAGATCCATTCATTTCTCACTACAATGACATATCTTGGAGAAAAGATCCCTTCATTTATCACTACACTGACATATCTTGGAGAAAAGATCTATTCATTTCTCACTACATGGACATACCTTGAAAAAAAGATTCATTCATTTCTCACTAGATCGACATATCTTGGAGAAAAGATCCCTTCATTTATCACTACACTGACATATCTTGGAGAAAAGATCTATTCATTTCTCACTACATGGGCATACCTTGGAGAAAAGATCCATTTATTTCTCACTGCATCAACATATCTTTAAGAAAAGATCCATTCATTTCTCACTACATGGACATATTTTCTAGAAAAGATTGGCTGCCAAAAGATCCAAAGGACGTTTAATTATCTCTATCTATGAAGCGAAGCATGCCACAAGAAACAGAAAAGATTCATGTAAGATTTATTAACAATATCACCGTCTTCCCACACCGAAATTGAATAAATTACCGACTCGTAAAAGATTTAACGCAAAGATAATTCATAGGAGACCCACCTACCCCCACCCAACCAAAATAAATAAATAAATAAATAATTTAATGAATTAATTAGTTATTTAGTCTTTTGAAATTTATGTTGCCTAGCTTAGTCACCAGTTGTACTCAACTTATTAATGCTATTCTCTCTGGTATCTTGAGAGCCTGATTCGGCTGGGAGTAAGGTGAGCATAATATATATAGCTGAAAACGGGATAATGTGTTCAGCAGGTTAGGATTCTTGGTGTGTGACCAGTGACCCAAAAAAAAAATCCTATCTAGCATGCAAACCCAGGTCTTCTACATTAGAGACCTGCATTCTTGAACGTTCGGTCAGCCACATCTATTCCGAGAATATACTTCCCAAATATTTATTTTCTTTAACTTGCTTTAGACACGTACTATTCAACTATGTAAGTAGCGGACTCTGAAGTCGACCTCTGCTGCTTCAGTTTAGTAGTATTCACTTTCATGTTATATCTTCTTCTGCATGTTGAATGTAATCTGTTCAGATGGTTTGTAGTCTCCTCCACTCATTGTAAAACAGGCACTGATCTTTGCAAACAGTAGTTGATTTGTGTGGATGTAATTCTTCTTCCGGAAAATAAAGTTCCAAATTTTCTGATTCGACTGTTTTAAAGTTATCTGTGTCAAAAATTAACTATATCAAAATATGTGCATTCAAAGAAGCATCTTACCTCTATCTTTTCTCTACCTTCAGCTTCTGCTATCTGTAAATTTTTCAATCTGAACCAATATGTTTTGCTCTAAATATGAGGCCTGCCTACATTAGTTTATTTCTGTGAAGACATTTTCATTACTACTAGTTTCTGCCCGTAGGGTGTTAAGTATTCTTCTAAAGAATTATAGCCGTGCATATATCTATGTAATTAATCTCTTCTGTTAGTCTATTTTTGGGGTGAATAACTTTTATTATAATTTTATTTGCTTAAAACCTCCAGCTTTTAGGTTTCAGGACAGGACAACCTTAGGCCAAAAAAAAAAAAAAAAAAGGCTTCAATCCATAATATGTCAATTAAGACACAGCATACTGGATTTTATCATTGACTTTATACTTCATTTGTAATACTCACATGCTTAAGACATTCATTCAGCTCTGACAGTATCGTGTCCTCATCAAACATTTTGCCTTGGTATCGATGTTCATAGTAGTCCGTGATCCTTTGGCGCAAGCTGCGAGGCAGTTTCCGATATACCATGTATTCTTCCACTTGTTTGAACTGTAAGTAAATAAAGGTATGAAATTTTGTGATGCAGATCTCTTATAGACACACAACGACACGAACAATGCTGATCAGTTCATTACAAAGCGATAAGAATAAACAGAAAAAAGACCCGTATTGAGATTTCAGCTGTCCCCATGTGGGTCTGGGGCTCCATGTTGGGAAAAAATAAAAGAAGAAAAGACCCCACTGCCCTCTTCCAAGCATGATGTAAAAGGCGACTAATTAGGAATTGTTCCTCCGAAATCGGAGCGCATCTGCAACATGTGAGGCTAGCAACCAACAGTCTACACACAAGGAAGCTAAGTCTGTAAAACGGATGTGTATACAAAATTCAAGTTCCAGAACAAGACTAAAGTCAAGAACTGGACGAACATCCAGAACTTTCAGCCAGAGTTTACAGTAGGTGAACGCTAAGAAGAAGCCGCAGAAGATTTCAGTTGGAAATCTAGAAAGGGAGCAGCCAATAAATGTATTGACCAATCGATGGTAAACTTATGGATATCATCCTTTGAAAATGTACTGAAGGGGTGATTTCACCTTCGCTTTATTGATTTTGATTTCAATTGTTAGGACTGCAGTCCAGAAGTGGACGAACAACCAGATTTTTCCGCCCGGAGTTTACAGCCGGTGAACGTAAAGAAGAAGAAGAAGAAAAAGAAGAAGAAGAAGAAGAAGAAGAAGAAGAAGAAGAAGAAGAAGAAGAAGAAGAAGAAGAAGAAGAAGAAGAAGAAGAAGAAGAAGAAGAAGAAGAAGAAGAAGAAGAAAAAGGAGGGGAAGAAGAAGAAGAAGAAGAAGAAGTAGAAAAAGAAGAAGAAAGAGTTGTAGAAGAAGAAGATTTAAGATTAAAGTGGCTCACGGTAAAGTACAGTTCAAAAAGTAGGTGGTAAATCACCCTACCCGGACAAATATATGTTAATTATTTTTTAAAGTCTTGAAACGGTTCTTACCACATGTGTTACTATTCATTTTTGTAACCCTTACTGTCAATACTGTGCTACTGTAACAGTCAACATTTAAACCTTAGACGTTTTGCTGTGAGAGACGGAAAATCTCTGGATTTGCATAGTTTGCTACAATGTTTATTCTTAAAAAAGAAATCATTAATTGTCAGTGTATGACGCATTTCTTCCACTATGGTCTGCAATTATATAGCCAGCAATGGAATATGAATATAATTACACTATCTTCCAGTTTTGTAGAAATCTCACGTTGACCACTGACGAAAAATTAGATATCTTCTCGGACAGAGATTCTAAAACCGTGTTTCGTGACATATTAATGTGTCGGCTGCAGTGTGAAGATGTGTCAAGCGAACGTAAAGTTATGCATGTGTCCGTATCTCTCATAAAGGATTCGTTTAATCTCTGGTTTCCCAGAAGACTGACTCACTGTGTGACAAAATTATGCTTATAAAATATGCCATCGACATGAAATGTTTGGAAAACTATACTCTGTAGAAACGTATATCTAGAGAGAAATGAAATGGTCTGGGGTGTAGTGAAATTCCCAATCTGTATGTTTTCTTAGAAGTTTCCATCTATGTTATATTTTCCCGCATAATGTGTTGTTCTTGAATGAAATGTTACCTGAAATACAAGGCATTAGCGTGGTGTAGAAAAAGCCTAAATCAAACCAAAACAACAACTTGAGGGTTGACTGGTTTTTGAGGCTATAAGAGACGAAACTAGGCAAGCACAGAAGTGAACAATACAAGAGACAAGACGGGTGAGTGTTTGACATTCAATCCCATAACGACCCTACAATGAGCGTTAAACACCCCGTGACACAACGTGCCACCATTCGGATTAGGATCCCCCAGGTACATGTCCATGTGCATGCGCCAATCTTTAGGATATATTAGGGCCCCCGACTACCGCCAGAGTGAGGCCTCAAAATAACCACACACAAAAAACCAACTGTGACGGCATCTAACCTTAGTCAAGACTACCCCTGGAGTGAGTTGAATGAAGTCCTATGATCGACTGGCGAGTAAGGGGTAGGAAAAGAACGGGGGCTATCTGTAATTGTTTTATGTTTATAGGAATTATAACCTGGTCATCAATGTCTTTTATTTCGTCCCACATGAGGGATGCAATTTTTCGTTTTTTGAAGCCCCCACCCTGGCTTTTGCTGGGGGTCCTAAATATAGCCAGGCCATAAATATGGCCTACGGCTGAACGGGGTTTCTGGGACCTCTCCACGGGTGATCCTCATCCGCATCGTGGCACTTTGTTTCACCGGGTGTTTATCACTTTGTGTGATGTCCTAGTGGGTACAACTTACACACATAAATTACTAATGAAAACCCAAAAATAAAACTCTTAATGACAGTTTACAAATGCGGCTGTAGAAAATAAAAAGCTAAGATAGCTAAAATAGAATATAGTTTTACTTAAATTGTGTCCCTTTAACTCGATCAGAGGCAGACGCCGGGACAAACCAGGTTTTTGTGTGTGCTGCAGCTATTGCATTTTTCGAACAGACAGACACACGCCTGCACAAGCCATTAGTCTAAAACTAGTTACGAGCCAAATTATCTTTAGCTGACATTGTGTGCCCAGACTTTAAAGTATCTCTTTCGTGGAACAAACTGTCAGTATTTCGATTATTTTCTTCGACTACGGAGGATCAATTTTGCAAGCCGTGCTCTCTTTCTCCCCCACGCGTTCGTTAGCTGAATGGCAGTACATCTTTTCAGTATCGGCGTGTCTCTGAGCCCTAACATCACATATTAGTTTGCCTAGTCCAGATCTATATCCCAATATTTTTAATCCCATTCTAGACTCGTGCCAAGAGCTGTATCCTCTCACAACGTAGCGGCGCCATCTCTTTATTTATCTCCCTACCACAGCGGACAGATTGTATCCCCCCTTAGTATTTTATTCCGTAAGCTGGAATGTGTTTTACTCCCACGTTCCCCACGTTACAATCCTTCCAATCTCTCCGGATGCCCCTATCATCCTGAGGTTGGTATCCAAGGCCAGGAAATCGAATTTTCCTAGACATGATTGCAAACCATCGACTTTGCCAAAGAACAAACACTGAAATATCCAGGCAAGATTCTTGATCCTCTAGAACTGATTTCGTGCTATCCATTTTCACGGCTGACGCAAGCATAGTTGAGAGGTCATAGACCCTGTGTAGACGTCACACACTTAAATGAGATCAATAGACTTTCCGAAACATTCAATTTTGCAAAGACAATAATTTGTTAAACCCTTGTGTCGTTTGATATTTTGCACTTGCAACAACGCTCTATTAATGTTTTCGACATGTGGGCGCATACAAACAAATATTTAGCTAATATTCCATTCAAGTTGTCATGGAGCGCGTTGTCATACTTGAAACTGTTTCTAGCGGGTATATCTTTATTCTGTTCTTTGCTGATTTCTAACAACTGATGATATTTGTGACGACTTAATATTTACACACAATTATAAAAGGGAGCCCATGAACTATAGATTTCAAATGTAAAGATCAGAGAGAAACTAGAGGCCTAGGAGAAATAATTCACACGCAGTGAATCAATTGCAGTGAAAATCTTTATACGGGCGCTCCGAAAAGTGGCATTGGTAGCTCAGGTATTTTGAACCCTACCCTTGTTTAAAAAAATTGTAATATTACCAATATTTTGTTAAATTAATTTCTTATTCAGCGGATAAAAATAATAATAATAACCACGCACTCAAAAAAAGGTTTGAGCCCATTGACACCACTCGCACCTAAACATTAGAACAGGACTGAGTGCCCTAACAATTGCACACTTTAACTAGGCTGAATACAGGAGATGCATTTAATCACGAAGGGAAAGAGTGGACTGAGTGGAGTTGGTTTTCTGATGACGCCCCCTCCCCTTTTTCAAACACAAAAATGGCCTCAGCACTTCTTAGATATCTTCTTCCCTTTTCACTTCTTTAGGCGCATCGGGCATATGGGAAGAGCGACCATACTTTTACAAACCCATCAGCACTTGGTGGGCAATGTGGTCAGCATTACGCCGGCCGTCTTTACTTCCCCAGGAAATACCCATTTTAGGCTTCATTTTGGACCCAAGTCGTTAAGAAAGAAAACGTTTTTTTTTTTTGTGTGGAGCTGAAATGCTTCGCAGGAACATGTCCAGAATACCACAGAGACAGTAGAGAAAAAAAAACTCACATTTTAAAGACCAGACCATCAAGGAAGACAAGCCAAAAAATACCATCTAATCTCGAATGCTGAAAAATTGTATTTTGTCCATATCAAGCGCCATAGCAGATTGGGGGAAAAAATATCAGAAGGCATGATACAAGGAAGAAAGGGCAACACAAAGATGGGCACAGGAGATGAGTGACCACTTGAATATAAAAGTACACAAAGCCGGAGAGCTGGCGAGAGAAACAGTTTCTTTCAAGCAGACCATGATAACAGCGACTTTCTGCAAAGGACCTGCTGATGAACTAGGCTTAAACGACCGGCCCCACTTTCACTAGAGAATTATAAAGGGATTAAGTGCACTGCTCTCTCCTCCCCCCCCCCTTTTTTTTAAATCCCCGAAAATTCTTTGTTGCAGCGATCCCTGTAGCATGCAAGTGAAACTTGGAAAATGGACAGATCAAGTGAGGGAGAAGCGGAAATGTGATATCTGAAAGGACTCTTTCCCGCGCCTTTAGGTGTTTTTGGCACACAAGGCTGGACCTGTATTTCATAGACCAATCGCGCGCTCGGTGGGTGATATATTCAGCATCACGCCGACCACCTTTACTTCCTGGGACTAAACCTGGTACCAAAAACAGACTACGTCCACTTGGGAGCCAACGCCATTGATGAATAAACAACAACAACCCAGCCCTGTTAGGATTCAAACCTACGACCTTCGAATCCGCATAAATGTTGTATCTGAGGAGAATATAAAGTGCCAGGGACGGATAGAAGTAGTAGAAGTAGTACTTTTACCCAACCAGGACATCATACAAGGGATAAACACCCGTTAATACAAAGTGCCACCATGTGGATGA